GGAACAATTCATTTTCAAATAGAAGCAAATAGTAAAAAGTTAACTGTCAAAGGAAGGAAAATATCCAATAGAATCTCACAAATTTCTGTCAAGAATATTGGAAGAGCCAGGTGCAGTGATTCACACCTGTAATTCCAGCTACAAAGGAGGCTGAGCCAGAAGGATCACAAGTTTAACACCAGTCTGGGAAACTAAGTAAGATCCTGTCTCAAAGTAAAATAAATAAATAACAAGAGTTTGTGGTATAGCTAGCTCAGTGATAAAGCATCCCTGGGTTCAAATCCCAGAATGAAAGAAAGAAAGAGAAGACCAGAAGAAAATGCATGCATTTCCAATGATGTGTGACTGGGAGACAAACCTTGGATATTAAACACAACTTTTAAATTAAACCTCCATGTACTTTTTTTCTTTTTTTCAGATATAAAAATGTGTATCTCTGGGTGGGTGGGGGTTTCTACAGTATTTTTTTACAACTTGCATTGTCCCTTCTTTTAATAGGTAATTTTATATCCTATTCAACAACATATTATAAGGACTCAGAACACAATACCTCAAAGATTGGTGCCTTGGCCTGCTGATTACTTTGAACTGAAAGAAATGGGCTCCCAACCTTAGCCTACTCTTCTTTTTTCTGCTTCCCTTTCCCCTCCAGGGGGGCCATAAAAACTAGAATTCTTCTTGCCCAACATGGATGACAGAAACTAGAACCCCTCTACCCTAAAGCCAGCCATAAAATCTAGAAATATTACTGCAACTTCTCCTAGCTTTTCTGTGCAAGAGCTGGTCATAAAGAAATTTTCTGACTTAATTTGTTAGATAGTCAGTCATAAGACTCTCATTCCCATAAGGGTCCTGCCATATACCAAGAGGAAGGAATACTATATAGAGAGGCAAAGAAAAATCTAAGCAAACAGAACTTGCTATTTCCCCTCAGTCTATTACCATTAGAACATGCCCTTTTGTCTAATCATATTTTTTACACAAATTTCCAGTCTTTTTTGAAACTAAACAAAAAAATATTTTTCCTGAGTCTTTGGGTCTTTATTACTTAAGGCTCTTGTGTCACGTAGAACTTTGATTAAATAAAACCAATATTTTTTTAATATGTATTTTTTTTTAGTTGTAGGTGGACATAATGCTTTTGTTTTATTTTTATGTAGTGCTGACGATTGAACCCAGTGCCTTACATACGCCAGGCGAGCACTCTACCACTGAGCCACAGCTCCAGCCCCAATATGCTTTTTTTCCTATTAGTCTTTGTTAGTTTTTAATCTCATACCTAGCCGGGAATCCCAGGAGAATTGACGAAACTTTTCTTCACCCACAATATATTTGTCTCAAGACCTTCCACAACAACAAGCCACATGAAGGAATATTTCTTTTTAATAGAAAGATATAACACTTTTTTTTTCTTTTAGGATTTGATTAATATTTGATTTTCTAACCACCTGACAATAATATGCTAATAAATTATTCTTGCTTTCCAGAAACTAAATTTTCTACATTATTTCCTTCTTTTGGTTCCTCCATAGATCTGATCACAGAAGCAATACTGCTTGGCCATCACTGTTAACATTCCTGAGGAGAACTTTGTTCCTGCAAGTCATTAATTGAAAGTCTAATGAGAAGGGTTTGATTACACTATTTGATTTTTCAATCTATTTGCAATCCAAAGGGATTTTCACTCTTGATGTTATTAACTCTTCACATGTAAATTATAATACTCACTTAGTAGTCCTCTGTTATCCTAAACTTTACATATATATATATATATATATATATATATATATATATATATCATGTATACACACACACACGTGGATTTTCTCTGTCCTTTTGAGGAAATTTGAGCATAAAAAAATGATGAACTAAAATGTTTTTTATTAAAGTTTAATATTTTAAAATGCTAAATGTTTTAAACTATTCAGAAAACATACTCTTTGTTTTATTCCCATCATTCTTACAATAAATATTATTAACCATCTATTACCCACGAAGCATCATGCTTGGTGCCATGGAGGATTCAATATTTAAAAGACACAATTTCTCTCCTCATAGGACTAGAAGTAAAGTAAATGTGTGAGTAGCTGAGGAACGGCTAGTAAACGCTGAAATCTGTGTAAGTCAGCTTTCCTTCGCTATGAAAAATACCAAAGCGAAGCAATTTAAAAGGACGAAAGGTTTATTTTGGCTCCTGGCTTCAAAGGTTTCTGTCCCTGGTCATTTAGCTCCCTTGGTTCTGGGCCTGGGGTAAGGCAGAACTTCATGGTGGGAGCACATGGTGGACTTAAGCTGTTCCCCTCATGGAAGCAAAGAGAAATAAAACACACTTTTATAACAGAGCTCCTCCTGCCAACCCCTGATAGCATGAATCCATCAAAGCATTGATCCATTTATGAGATTGAGACCTCATGATACAAAAGCTTTACAACGGCTCCCTGTGTGAACACGGCGACGTTGAGGACCATGCCTTCAATACCTGAGTTTTGGAGGACAACTCAGAGGTAAACCATAACAAGTCCCTTTAAAAAAGCAGAATGTATAAGAGAAGACAGGCTTTTTTCTTTTAATTTGTTATATATGACAGCAGAATGCATTACAATTCATATTACACATATAGAGCACAATTTTTCATTTCTCTGGTTGTACACAAAGTAGAGTTACACCATTCGTGTCTAGAAGACAGGCTATTTTTAAAAGGAATCAGTGACAGTTTCTCGAACATCTGAATTAGTTCTTGAGAATCGTAGGAAACTGATTATAGAGAAGGCAAGAGAACATGACAAGAGGCAGCACTATATGGAGTACATTCCAGAATCAGGGCTAGAGAACAAGATAGGTGTCATTGGTCAGAAGGCTGACAAAAGTTAAACCGAGGTGAGATTACAGTAGTTTAAATGGGACTTTCAGGAGTTTGGAATTTGCCCTGTGGTCTCTGAGGGTGTGACTGAGAATGGGGAAAATTACAATTTTGTCATAAGAAGATCAATCTTAAAAAGATGACTGTGTACGAATTGTATTAAATGAAGGAAAGTCAGAAATTAGGATTGATTGGATATTGATGGGACAGAAATTATGCAGGTCAAAGCAGAGGAGGAAATCAAAGATGACTCTGTTGTTGAGAGTCCGATAAACCTGGTGAATGATCTATCTAGACACAGCAAAGAAATGAAGAAAAGTTTATTTGGGGAAAGATGCTACTATAGACTTGAATTAAAAATTCCATGGGCTGGGGATGTGACTCAAGCGGTAACGCACTCGCCTGGCATGTGCGGGGCACTGGGTTCGATCCTCAGCACCACATAAAAATAAAATAAAGATGTTGTGTCCACCGAAAACTAAAAAATAAATATTAAAAAAAATTCTCTCTTCTTAAAAAAAAATTCCAGCAGAAAATGAGAAAGAAGAAAAGAAGGGAAGGAAGGAAGGAAGGAGAGGAGAGGGGAGGGGAGGGAAGGGAAGGGGAAGGGAGGGGAGGGGAGGTATTGCTTAGGAGAAGATTGGGGGTTACTGCTAAATATTTAGGAAATGTTTAAAGCTGGGTAAGGATTGTGGAGACTGGAAAGAGTAAGGTCACATAAAGCAAAAATTTATTCAGATCTAGCATGACCCAATTTGTTTCATTCATGCTAAACTAAAACACTAACACAGGTCCCAGTGCATCCATAATGGTCAGCAGTGTAGGCTGTTTCAGAAAGAGGTGGATCAGGGGATATCTGCTTGCATTTGTGATCAAAGTCATGACTGTGGTACTCTATATAAGTAGTCTCTTTGTTTGTTCAGGCCACGTGTAGATTAGGCAGTTAGCTAGGTCATCTGACAGAGACAGAAATTAAATTGGATAACTCCTAACATCCAAATCCACCTGGACTCTGAATTATTTATTTGGATTTTCTAGAAATGAACACATTGCTTGTAACTCCACATCTTCTGTACTGAACTCTAAGTTTCTTAAGGGTCTGACTCTGGTCTAACAAGGGCTTGGCCCTTAAAAAATGCTTAATACTTTGTTTTAAATATAGAAAGTGAATGGACACTGTGTATAGATCCTTAACCATTCATAGGAGTAATTAGGAATAAAAGAAGAAAACAAATGATTCAGCATAACGTGTGTTCTAGGGCAGGCAGAATGCTAAGGAAGGATGATCTAGCAATGATAGAAATATTTAATCCCTTAGATTCAACAGTGAGTCAGTCTCCCGGTCGCCACCACAGAGATGTGCTTTTGTGGATTCATTAACCATTACCCTCCATTTACAAAAGAGTTTTTAGAAGTGGACAGGTTAAGTCACTTCTAGAAGATCAAAAAGTATCAGCAGAAGACCAAACCCTGATGCAAGAGGATTCTCCCTTAGAGCTGCATGTCTGGGAACTAACCCAGAGGACCTAGACTTCCTCAGAACTGGGACTTCACTTCTTAGTTGGAGTTTCCCCGGGTTAGTTTTACGTGAGCAATTCAGAGGAAATGTGCACTTTTACATGACAAGGAATCTCAACCACTGCTACTGTTATCTTTTTAAAAATCATACCTAGCCGGGTGTGGTGATGCAGGCCTGTAATCCCAAAGGCTTGAGAGGCTGAGGCGGAAGGATCACAAGTTCAAAGCCAGCCTCAGCAATTTAGGCCTTAAGCAATTTAGTGAGACCCTGTCTCAAAATAAAAAAATAAAAAGGGCTAGAGATGAGGCTCAGGGGTTGAGCACCCCTGTGTTCAATCTCTAGTACGGAAAAAAAAAAAAATCAGACCTGAATTTATTTATTAAAGAAACATTTGGAATTTAGAATTAGACATTTCCCCTCCAACTTTACTTCAGAAATAAAAACTTAAAACTCACACTGTATCCTGAACAAACAGGAGACACATGTTTACTTATATTTTATCTAGGGTTTTTGAAATGATTAGGTAAATTGGTGCTTCCACGTGTAAAAGGCTTATTCGCTATTGATTTTAAAAGTTCATTGCTTGAATAACAGTCACCAGTAAATTAAAAATGAAGTTACCTTTCTGGCTTCTCTTTCTGCCTCACAGAAAACTTGAACAGGACACAGAAGAGTTAACCCGAGGCCTAGACAGTTCCCTGCTGATCTTGTAATGAGTGAGAGCTACAGCTGAATGTCAATAGCTCATTGTGAACTTGGGTAACCCAGCTGAGCCCTCAGCTTGCCAGAGCTGGAGGAGGTAATCAGCTTGACCCTTGTGACCTTCCTGAGGCTGTGCTCCATCCTGCCTGGAGAAGCTTCTTTGCATATGACTCTGACATGCTGCTCAGTGGAAACCCTTTTAGGAGAACTGGACCTTAGTCAGCCTCAAGAGACTACCTACTATAAATTAGCCAATGCTGGTTATAGGTTGCACAATATGGTAGGTGCTTAAAAAAAAAATGAATGGAAACACATCCTGGAAACCTCAAAAAGATTTCCAGGAATGGCTATGACATCTGCCCTTCTAGAGTTATTAAAATAAATCGAAGGTTATATAACAGTTCTGTCAGCACTTCACATTTCTTTGTGGAGTTGTGTTTTATCAACTGCTTTCACCTTTCGGGGTTTGGTAAATTGATTTCCTTTTGTTTCTTTGTTTACTTGTCACTATTTTCATCTCATAGCCCCAAGGATGTCATACACATGGTGTATAGATATGTACATTATAGATTAAGAAGGTCTTTCACAACAATTTTATTGTATTCCTAAACAACCATTTCAATCCTTATTCTGTTCCATAAAAGAAACTTGAACAATCACTTAAACTCCTCTTGGTCTGCATGTGTCTAAATATATTGTTATTAAAATAATTATTATTCATAAGCTGAGAAAATACATGCTAATTCTGCTCTTAAAGTATATAACTTATAAAATCACAAAGACTACAGAACAAAAGTATTTTCATAAAAGTAAGAAAGAGTGATTTAAATAATAAACACTAACCTATTATAAACTGTGCACTTTTATAAACAAGCCCCATAACAAATAGAGTTCATATTCCCAAGGAAATGAATCTTAAAGGTAACAAAATATGCAGTTGGCTTAAACTCATAATGATGATAAAGTGCTCCAACTCAAAGGCACTTGATTTCATCAAGGTGCTAGAAGCTTTATTTTTACCCTAAAGCAAATCTATCCTAAGTATGTTTATTATGCATGCACCATCTTTTAATGCTAAGGAATCTTTGATCATGACTAATGAATTTTTGCATAGAAAAAAATATATATAGTACTTAGTTACTATAATAATTACTCTTATAAAAACATAGTTATTGTAATAAAAAAAATTGCCAGCTAAATACTCTAGAAATGATGCTTTTTTCTTTCTTTCTTTCTTTTTTCTTTTTTTTTTTTTTTTGTGGTGCTGGATATTGAACCCAGGGCCCTGTGCATGAGGCAAGCACTCTATCAAACTGAGCTATGTCTCCAGGCCCAAGATGCATTCTTAACCAAAAGCCATCAGCCACTAGCCTTATTTTGTGGATTAAGAGGACAAAGAAGATTCAGCTTCCAGGTGGGCTAAGGAGACAAGCAAGGTTGAAGTCACTATGTGTGATCTAATACTGTAAAACACTGTTCTTTATCCTGTGAATAGGCACATGTGGAAAGGAAAGAAAAAGCCTGCCACCAATTCTATGTTAACATTATACCCTCAATTTGGTCCTAAGTAAAACAACACAGAAATGGACCCTAAGATGAGCTGAGGCAATAGATGGTCACAATTACTTAAGGGACACGACATTTATATATTTGACCACAACTGTCAAACATGCACACCCAAAAAGATTACATGACAACTGCATTTTACCCAGACTTGACTCTTTCTGGCTCAAGCATCTTGTAACTGAAGCTTTGTACATCTCTGAATGAATATCTTAAGGGCCCAATTCCCAATAGAGGCTGATTTTTTAAAACACATGCCACAAGCCCAAGTAAATCATATATTGAGATTCGGTTCTGACAAGCAGCTAAACTAATAAAATACATTCCCCTTGCTGATTTTAAAAAGGCTGTCAAGACCAGCTCACGTGCAAGCTAGTTATTTCAGTAAAGTCTAAATTTGTAGACAGAGATGGCCTCTTAGAAAATGTCACGTGTTTGTTTTGCCCCTAAAACACTCTTCTTTACAAAGATTTGTAGAATTCATTTTTGTGTAAGCAAATATAAAGAGCAAATCTGCTCTGCCTAATCAAATTGCATCTTAACTGCACAGAAGAACTTCATTGCTTTGTTTGAAGTGTTTCTTTTTCACTCTTTGGTCCTGTACAACCACCACCACTCATGCTTTTCTGAAAGGAGAAGAGCTTTATCAAAAGATTTCCCGGTAAATTAAAAGCACTTTGTGGATAGGAATAGTGTGAGTTACACCAAGATGAGATCTGTTTATATGGCTCTCTCCAAAATGAGTTCCTGCTGGTTCTGGCAATTCAAGTATCTATGACCTGAAATGAATGAGGAAGTCTGAGAAATTGCTATAGTAACTAGGTTAAGTTAAACAAATACACCCAAGTTTTGCATAGTTTCATATTTCTACAGTCAAAATATAATTTGCAGTTTAGCTGTCAAAATATACTTTGGGGGTGAGCCTTATGGAGGTTACAAAATGGCCATTGGGCTATCCCATAACCATTTTCAAGGATTTTATGGCTCCACATCAGGCCTTGTGAAAAGTAAGGGAAAAGAAAAAACAATTAAGATGTGACATCCAATCTAAAACAGATTCTACTTCAGCAGGAGAAACAGATAATTAGATTTACACATAATAAAATCATAGTGAGACCTCAATAAAGCTATGAGCCAAATTCTGAAAGTACCTAGAGATGGGTCAACTTTTGCCGCAGTCTGGCTGGGCACAAATGCCGCAGTCTGGCTGGGCACACAATCACGAGCCACCACACAGCTTGTAGATTCAAACAGCAACTCTTTATTCCCGAACTCACACCAGCCGTCTACAATCACGTTCTGGGGAAATCCACGTTCTCTGCCCAAATCCACTACCACTGGGCTTCTATCTCTCAAAAAATATTGTCTGAATCCCGTGAGAACTCAAGGGGAACTCAGGCAGCAGGATACGCCCTATTCCCAGCAGGAATAATCTTAAACCTTAAACCTTGGAACCTAAACCGGGAACGCCCTAAACCCGATTATCTTAAACCGGGAACACCCTAATCCGCCTTGGTCCTTGAGCAAGGTCACCTACATGCAATGTCACTGCAAAATGTCAGCAACATGGGGTACGCTGGCAAGGAAATTGTCATACCTACTTGGCTAATGGCTCCCAGCAAACTTTGTTTTATTTGAAAAACTAAGCAAACGGTTCCTAGCAGAGGTGACATTGAGGCCTTCAAGGACCACATCAAAAAGGATAGGAGACACTGCAGGCCACATAATGAAATACTTGAGGACACGAATCTAGTGTGTGACCTCTGTTGGAGGTGCTAAGGCTTCCCCAGGTGACAAAAAAGGCTAGAAGTTTGTGCAACCAATTTTTAAATAGTGCTTGTTATGAAAGAAACCAAGTATTCACAAAAGGAGAGAGTATAATAAAATGATCCTTTAAAGTCATTGTTTACATTTAATAATTATCAAGATTTAGGCCTCTTTGTTCATTGGCCTTTGTTTTTCATTCTTTTTTCCTTTTTTTTTTTATAAGTGTGTATTAGTTTACCATTTCTGACTTTGCTTTCTGAAAAGATGGACATTTTCTTACATCATTATGGTGCAAATATCACAAAAAGTTAATAATTCTTAGTTATTATCTAATAGTAGTTCATATTAAAGTTTTCCATCTTTCTCCAAATTAGTTTATTAAATTAGAGATTGATTTTCTTAAAACCCAAATGCAATCTGTGGAGAATAGTAATAGGGGTTCCTGGATGACCCTGACATTATCTATATGTTTGTTGAATTGTTCTGTACCTAGCACAGTGGCCAGCCCAGACTTAATTCTAGATAAATGTTTTCTGAACTGCACTGAATTGAGTTGCATGATGGCTTTGAAGTAGAAAGGCATCTTGTCAGTATTCTGTTTTTACATAACTCTGGTGACTATAGAGGGGATGTTGGTAAACCTCCTCTAACAAAAAGTACATATGGTCCAGAAGCCTATGATACAGGGGGTCAACACTACAGATGTCAAAAAAAACTGGAAACCAGAAACTGGAACTTTACAGAAGTTCCCAGTTTATAGATTTGCTGAAATAAAGGCTTTAGAACTTTCTGGAGTATAGAAAGTAGCCACACTTACCCTTAAGTATTTGAATAGACTAATATGTGAATAGATTAATATCAAAAATAGACCTTTTAACCAGGATAAAATGTCCTCTCTGATGTCTAAAGGATTTGGGGAAAAAAATGTATTTATATCAAAAAAGTTCTGGGTGAATGATTCTTGGACAAACCTTCAAACCCCAAGAAAAGACATCACTAGAAGAGAGAGAATTCCATCCGGGAAGATTGGGGCCTATGCCTTTGACCAAGTTCTAGCATCTTGCAATTTAAGAAGCACTTCAGCATTTATCCATTGTTTCTCTTTAATATTCACAACTGGTGGAATGCGCAGGGCAAATATTGCCTACATTTAAAAGGTGAGGATGTTGAGGCCCATTTTAGGCGGCTGATATAGTTAAATCCTCAAAGCTAGTTATGGGTGGAGGCCAGGTTTGAAAGTCTCTGCTGTGCGAGAACAGCACCAGGGGTTCCATGTTTCTTACTTTTTCCTTCATTTTCCTTTCTATTTCCTTGCGTTCTCTTGACCTCCATTTGTTCTGTGGCACCAAATCTCCTGTATAGAAGAAGCTGAAAGGCCAAGGAAGTCTCTCCATTTTAGGCAGAGTAAATAAACTTCAAGCAGTTTGGGAGTACTTTCTCTGATAACCTCCTTTTCATGTTAATTTTGTAGGTTCTTCAGGCTCCATTATCATTTCTGAAGATTTTTTTTTCAAAGGAATAAACAGAATTTTGCTTTCCCCTTAAAACTATATATACTGGCAATTAAGGATCCAAAATTATTTGAAATATTCATTATGTAATTGGCATATATATTTGTATAAATCAAATGACATGGTGTATTTTATATTCATCGGAATGAAAAAGGTAAGAGTGTTTTAAAAAGTATTTGTGTGCAGTTT